AAGGCATGTTTTAAGTGTGGGGAAGTTGGACATCCCAAGGAGGATTGCCCAAAGAAGAAAGGAACTACACTTTAAAGACAATAAAGGAAGAAGCAGACGTCACTTCGAGGGAGTCAATAGGAGGAAGCTGCTCATCCAGGAAGTTTGAGACATATAATGATCATCTCCCCTAGATAATATTGTAGTATGTCGCCTGTTATAATAGGCATGGAGTTTAATAAGCTTTGAATGTGATTGTAATCATTTCAGAAGTTATAAAAATCTCCAATTCCGTTATACTACTTAATGTGTTAAGTTTCTATGTGATTTCGTTCTTGTATGGTGACTTGGAGAACTGCGAGACAATTCTTGGGACGAGTATGAGTAGGTGTGAAAGGTAGTAGAGATCTATACTACCAAAAGCACATGACTCGCACTTGGATCATGACAAGTCGCAAGGTTACCAATAAGCTAGTATCTGAGTCAAATTTGTTCATTCCCATCATTACCTTTGCTTCGGTAATGACTATGGTGACAATTTTCATCCAGACCATGACGACCACAAAGAGCCGAGTTCGAATAGTATAAATCTGCGAAGTAAGTCGATTGGTTCCAAGAACCATGTCTAGTATAGTAACCGACCTTAGTCGACAAAACGGAGGGGGAGAACAAGGAAATCGAAAAAAAGATTGCATATCTCAAAGCAATCAACCGGTAGCAAGAAGTGCTACTTGCTATAATGTGGTTGTGCCACATTAGAATATGAAGGGGAGGTATCCTCAGTAGTAGGAATTTCATAGATAAGAGTCTAGTTCAACGTGCTTCGCATGCACCACAAAATAGAAGGTCATTAGAATGTGACCATTCGGTCTGTTACTACAGCTAGAGTAAAGACCTCATCTTAGGTCGAGTGTTTAGCAAAATTCGAGAAGGAGCAGGAGCCTCCAATAAATATCGAATTTATGACTCAAAGATCCGGACTGAAGGTCCAATAGAGAATTAAGATATGAGTGTGAGATAAGCACTGCCATCAAAAGTCCAAGAGTTTGATACTCGTTGGGCAAACCGCAAAAATTGTGATTTTATAGAGGGCATACACATGAGTACGTTAGTAGTACGTAGGTATCCAGTTACCTTAATTATGATCAAGAAGAGTACGACAAGTTAATCGTATTAGAAAGGAGGAAGAGAAAATATTGAGTTCAGCAAGCGTCGTTACTGCTAATATTACGACCCTCATCTACCATCTGGTACACGTGTATGTTGGTACAAAAATCTAAGCGTTTTTCGTAATCTTGATCGGACTACGTTGTGTCTTATGAGAAGATCACTCGTTATAAGCACAAGGAAAAATACTACATTGAAAGTATTACAATCATCGTAACAACCAGGAGTTTCTTTCAAGAAGAAAGAAAACTACCAATCGTAGAGACAAATCCAGCCTGGGCTTTCGTTGATTGTATGTAGCAGACAAGCGAGGGTCTGAACCCAAGTAAGGGAGACCCAAAGTGCGAGAGACAAATTGATTCCAGATTATACGTCAAGATCTAGAAAAGTTGCAGCACCAAAAGCTAAGAAAAAAATAGTTATTAGCTTCAATACCTGTTTGAATGGACGTTTTGGTTGGAAAGTAAGGAAACAACATCGTGAGGGAACTTGAAACCTTTACCTGTGCCTATAGGTAAAGATCTCACCATAGATCTTAATATCAAGTGTCCATGGTTGTGTAGAATCACGATATAACATAGGTCAGAATCATAATGATTTGGTTCATGTAGGAAATTTTTCATAGACCTGTTGTCAAAGAATAACATGAGGTATTCAGATCTGAGACCATTCTTGGATCTCCCTAATAGTTATGTTAATGATGACGTAAGAATTGCCGAAGTCTGGCAGAGGTCGAAACCCGAAAGAGACACTGAACGGTTAAGTTCGTGGACCATGTTATCTTTGGAAAATGAAGAATTGTTATGAGAAGTCACTTAAGTGAAGGTGTTAAGGGAATTAGGTCGACAGGCTGTTGAGCGGTAACAAAAAGAACCTAAAACATCATTTCACGTTTAAATACGAAAGGATCTGTTAAGATAGTATTGTGTGGAAACAAGTACTAAAGAAACCCCTTACTATAGGATTGAGAAACGACATGGGAATTATTATTCAACATTGCTTTCTTGATGATTCTGGTACGTAATCATCCTAAGTGGGAGATAATTGTAACTCCCACATCTTCGGGCTACACAAAATAAAAAATAATCATAATTTTAATCCTCGATTAGGATTCCTATTCGTTGTGTGCATTGCAGACTATGTATTATCAAACCATTTTAGTATCGATAAGCGACGAAACAAAAATCTTGATATAAGATTATTTATGACAAATAATCTTGACGGAAAATGTAGGAGTTGTGATATAAATATCGTACATATAAAGCATACTCAAATCCAACTCTGTACGCAGAAGTTATAGACTTCCGAGGTTTCACAATCAGTCAGCGTATCATAAATAATGAATTGGAGATAGGTTGCTTATTAGCCTAAGTAACCTAAAAGAAATACGTAGCAGTCATTAAACCGAGAGCGTACATATAGAGAACGCTCGAATCTGACTTCGTAAGAGGAAGTTATAATTTTTCTAAGTTCCAGTGTAGCAGTGTACAACACTGATATCGAAGTTTAGATCAGTTGATTATTAGCCTAAACAATTTAAACAAGAATCAAAGATCTCATTAATAGGAACTCAACAATATAAAGACAGTCGAAAACGGACATCGAAAGAGAGAGTTGTGAATTTTTAACGAACTTTAACAGTCTAAGTCTGTTAAAAATATAACTTTAAAAATAATGTCAAAATTAGCAGACGGAGTCTAAACTAAAGTTGTAGATCTCGTCGATAGCTACGCGTGGATATAAAACCCATAAAAACAGAGCTCGTATGAGAAAGTTATGAATTTTCTAAGAAAACAGAAAATTTCGCGCACAGCCGCGTGCACAAACAGCATGTGCGACGCACACTGACAAACCACCTAGAATGCGACACGTGGCACCACGCAGAAGGCAACATGTCACCTTCTTCCGATCACATGTGCGATGTGCACCTTATCTATACACGGCGCGCACTCCAATTTAGGCTATATAAACCTCCGAAAATCAGCTCATTCCTCACACCATTCTTCCATATTCTCTCTGAAGCTCCGTCTAGCTTTTAGCCCCTTTTACTCCTAAGTTTCCGGCCCCTTCGGCGAAGCCCTGCGGTGTCAGATAGCTGGTGAATAGAAGCTCCCGGTTCAGAGTTCTGCCCGCATAATTCCCGGTTTTCACTAAATTACTCTGTAAGTTAAGCTACGCTTATTTTTTTTAAGCGTAACTTTTAATTATAGTCATAAGTCGTTATTATGAACCTATAATTAAGATTTATCAGTGATTCCGAGTCATTATATTGATTGATCTACTTACGGGAGTGATGTCTAGGATGCATTTAGTGAAGTGTTTAAAGTGAGATTTCCGAACATTATACATTGTATACCAAACAGACCTTACCTCCGATATGATCCTACATTGTTATTCATTACTTGATAGATCTTGGTGTAGACATCAGGATTATTAAGTAATCTAGACTATGTTTATTATAGTTGCCAGGATTATGAAACTAGACTAAGGCTTAGTGCTTTATACGTCTAGGTGTCTTTGGAAGTGCAAAGCGAAGCGCTGCCGAAGTCGTCAGTCGCTCATTTTATCAAGTGAGTGCATATCCCCTTTCATGAATATGATTTAATACAAGCATTATGTTATGGTAAAATCAACTAATTTATCATTCCGTCTACATTTAGATGTTATGAATGTTCTGTGTTTTTGATGGACCTAAAAAAACTAAGATTAGATATAAATTTCGAATCTAACAAAAAACATTACTTTTAAAAATGGGTTAATACAAGTTTAGTTAGATGACCAAACTGGGTTTATTATTTCAAGTGATGAAGACTACAAGCACCCACACCCGGTCCACCGTTGTCTTGTTCCAAGTCCCAAAAAGTCAAAAACTACCCAATTTTGATTCTTCTTTTTCTAAATATAAATCAATTGAAAATTTTGAAAATCGAAAACAATTTGTGACTTAGAATGGGTAAATCGTTTTTGTCTTTATTTATAACAAGAATACCAGATAAATTAATTTTATAGTTGTACATAATAAGATGTATTTAACATAATATATGACAAGACTATTATAGCTTTTTTCTATTATAAAAACTGACTAATTCGCTTCTTTTTGCAATTTAAGGTTATCAGCTTGTACAATATTTTCTAGAACATCTTAAAGCTTTATATTAAATTGGTAAAAACTATTATACCTTTTTCTATTAAAAAAGTAACATGGTTGTATAGCTTTTGTGTGATCATATGTTGAAATTGTGTTTTTGTAAGCATGCATTTCTAATGTGAACATCATTTAAAATACGTATTTTTCTTTAACAAAAGTATATTATGTAACATATAATTATGCGACTAAAGTATAATTCATTAATTCCATTCTAGACAAACTTTAAATTTTATGCCAAACAGACTATCTGGTACTTAAAGCATTAATAATACTTATCAATTTTAAATACAACATGTAATTAAAAAAGCCTTCAAGTCTTTGTTATAATGTTTCAAAGATGAATTTAATTTTTTAGAATAAACTAATTTTTAACTTTAATTTAAAAGTCACTGTAGAAACAGTAGTTTGAGTAATGAGTCCAACATCTTGAAGACGCCATAAAAAACGCGGTCAATATCAAACCTTCCTCCTTTAAAACCCTTTTAGAACTTCTAACATTCATCCACTCCAAATTCTCTCTTCACTCTCCAATTTACAGGTTTCTTACATTTCTCCATTGTTATTTGTGTAAGATTCCAATTGGGTTTTTCTCAAATTCCTTTAAAACTCCTAAAATTGGAACATAACTCATCACTACCCATTTCTTTGTTCATATTCACACTGATCATTCACTTTTTCGAACTTGAACTGTTCTTCTGTCAAGATAATGGCGTCAACTGATTATCAAGGTTCATCATCTCCATCTTTCACACGTTTTCGGCGTTCAATACTGAGTATGAAACGAGATCCAGTGATTCATGAGGCCACAAGTCAGGAACAAGAGGTTGAAGCGTTTCAAAGACATGTAACTCAGAGGTTTATCGATTTGTCTCGGGTCGATTCACATGAATTCCTTTCTCTTTCGTGGGTTTCTGATCTTCTAGATGTTTTCCTGTGTTGTCAAGAAGAATTCAAAGCCATATTATTCAACAACCAATCTTACATGAGTGATAAGTTGGTTCTGGATTATTTCGAAAGGAGTGTCAAAGGATTAGATGTTTGTAATGCAATTAGAGATGGAATTGAACAGATCCGACAATGGCAGAAACAACTGGAGATCGTTTCATGTGCTTTGGGTAATCAACGATATCTCGGAGAAGCTCAATTCCGGCGAGCTAAAAAGGCGCTAATCGAGTTAACAATCGGAATGATTGACGATAAACAATCCAACTCCGCTTTCGCTCATAGAAACAGATCCTTCGGTAAAGATCCCCCAAATCATCAAAAATCCTTGAAGAAATTCAAATCATTCTCGTGGAGTGTTTCAAGATCTTGGTCGGCTTCAAAACAACTTCAAGCAATCGGAAACAACATTGTTCCTCCCAAGACTACCGACGTCATTCCTGTAGCTGTTTACACGATGAACAATGTCCTGTTATTCGTGATGTGGACTTTGGTAGCTGCGATCCCTTGTCAAGATCGTGGACTACAATCCCATTTCAACATACCAAAGAATTTCAATTGGGGATCTCCGATTATTAGTCTGCACGAGAGAATTTTGGAGGAATCGAAGAAGAGAGGGAGGAGAAATGCTTGTGGATTGTTGAAGGAGATTGAAGGGATCGAGAGATCTGCTCGTTTTGTAAACGAATTGTGTGATTCGTTGCAGTTTCCATTGGCGGAAGAACAGGAATCGGAGGTGAGAAAGAGGGTGGAGGAAGTGGAGATGGTGTCTGAAGCTATTAAGAAAGGTCTGGATCCATTGGAGAAGCAAGTGAGAGACGTTTTTCATCGAATTGTGAGCAGTAGAACACAAGGACTCGATAAACGAAGCTATTAATTAAATCAAATCAATATATGTATAGAGAATATATTTAGGATATGAATTGTATTTGGAAATTCATGAACTATGCATGTTCATGTGTTCATCTCGTGTAGATGTATCTCATTAATTATTAATTCTCACGTTGAATGGCATGTATTTAGTTTAATATGCCATTAATAAGGTTTGATTTTGATATACAAACGGTTCTTATATGACATTAAGGTTTTATTTGTGTTTGATTTAGATTTTTGATGCATATTAGGATGTGATTTTAATAATGATATGGTTTCTGATTTGTTAACTTGTTGATATTTGTATCTATTCTTGAGGTTTTACGATTTGTATTTGCCAGATAAAAAATTCAAGATAAGACTAGATTGGACATGATATATGTAAAATTGATGAAGTTTGCAAATTGCATAATATTAATCAATTTTATGGTGAGAGTAGTTGAAAGAAAAAAGGACAAATAGTTCCTCAATAATGTCTTAATACATTAATATAGGGTTTTTTTTTATCGTTAACTTGTTATTATAATAATGTCTTAATACATTAATATAGGTTTTTTATCTTTAACTTGTTACTATAATAATGTCTTGATACATTAATGTAGATTTTTTTTATTTATTATAATAATGTCTTAATACATTGATGTAGGGTTTTTTTCTTTAACTAGTTAATAGTAGTTATTATATGTCCAAATTAAGTCATGTGTTTACATAAGGTTTTTAGGAGTTTGTAACTTTTAGCTTAACAAAAAATTTGATATAAATAAAAAAATTTATTTCGTAATATGAGTTTTAACTTTTAGCTTAAAAAAACGTAAAATCAAAAAGCTATTTAATATAGCAATTATTACACACTTCTAGACCATTATAGGTGCTTATGAAAAGGCAAATATATACGACTGATACAAATATAAAGATATTCATAGTTTTTGTTACTCTATTTCAATACTTGTTGTGTCTACCCAATGATGCATGGGTATATATATATACACTAAAGAACAACAAACAAATAGTTATTAGTTTATTGCACACGTTTATATCGGGAGTAAAATAAGAAAATATATACGACCATGTTAGAAGCTAAAATAAAGTTATAAAAATTGAAAAACACTTTATGCTTTAAATTAAGAAAAAATCATATATTATCGTGAGATCAAATATGGATATTATTAAAATACATAATAAAAGAAAGTATCAGAATATCCACATAAAAAATGCCAAACGAACCATATCAGATATCACTTGTTCGATTTCATTCCGTGATTCAAGATGGTATTGACTTTTGACCATTTCAAATTGATGACCAGGCACTTTTGTCAAACTGTGTAAGATGTCAGTCAATAAATCTTCGTGCAAGTTAAACTTAAAGAAAAATCGTATCTTTTGTTGTTAAAAAAACATTTTTTTTTTGTAAGTTGCTATTTTAAATTTAAAAATTGGCCTATTTATGATGTTATTTTTTTTATGAAACTAATATGCATATGCATAGATTAATAAAACAAATTAACATTACGGGAATAATATGAAAAAAAAAATTAATAACAACTTAAAACATTATTAAGTTATTTAGAATTTAATAAAAGCATATTACACCATCGTATATCAGCCATTAACCCTAAACCAAATGTTATACTTCTGATGGACGCATAAAATACTATATTATCATTTCCAATCTTCTAGGTATCTTTTGATTGTTGAACATAATGTTTGACCGGATAATTGATGTAGCTAAAAACATTGGATTGGCAACCAAGTATTCAACATATTATTAAACTATAATAAAATAAATCTCCATATAGGATATTATAAAAAATAATACCAAATATTTATTTGTGATTTTAGTATCAACCTACCCTTGACTGCAATAAGAATTTATACAATATTAAAAGGGAACTCGAATTATACTCTAATACAAAGATAATTGATATAGAGTGCAAACCATTATAAGACATCATGATTGATCCCGACCAAGACAAATAATGATGTTCAATTCCTTTTGTTGAAGATCCCTCGGAATTGAGGAATTTGTTGCAGATCCCTTGGAATTAGGACAATTCCTTTTGAAGAGGGAGGAAATGATACAAATGTGAAATGTAGCCTTCTAAGTTCCAAGGTGGGTCCGGATCGTGATAGCGAATGGATGAAGTCCGAGAAAGATGTTGAATGCGAACCGGGAGATGGAAGCGAAAAGGCTTATGATTGCGAAAGTGATGTTGAGTGCGAAAGTGATCCATGTTGCGACTGAATGCGAACCAATGCGAACGATCGCAATGGATCACAGTCTAGCGGTTATGGATGCGAAGGACTTATCCAATGCGAGTGTTAACCACTTCGGAACAACAGTTGAATGCGAACGAGCGGTGGATGCGAACAGTGCTACATGGGTGCGAACGATTACTGGATGCGAACATCTTATGGATGCGAATAGTCTGTTGTTGGATGCGAAAGCTGGTTGGGCATTGTTCCTAATACGAAGATATTTGAGTGGTTAATCGCATGGACGATCTAGAAGACTATATTTTATTTCTAGAAACGATTTGATTTTGTAACACCCCATCCTTCAAGTAACTTCAAATTCATCCATTGGACTTGGAATTATGTCATTTTGGCCCTTGGTTTGGAAAGAAGTGGCAAACAGAGGCCCTAGTGGCAAAAAGTTGATTTTGGGAACTTGGGAAGTATGTTGGGCGTACATGTGAGTATGCTAAGCGTACTAGGACGTGCCCTAGTATGCTGGGCGTACACATATGTACGTTGGGCGTACGAGTGCTAGGGTGAAACCCTAATATTTAGGGTTTTGGGTGGTATATAAGTGTCCTTATGAGCTCATTACCCTCTATCCTTCCAGCCTCCATATTTTTTAGCCGTTTTCCCCAAACCCTAGCCTCTCTTTTATCTGCGTGAGCTAAAAGTGTGCCTCTTGGGTAGTTGAAGAAGAAGTTAGTGCATCAAAGGAGTCAAGTAAGGAACCAATCTTATAGATCTGGAGTTAACACCATCTTGGGAAGCTCTAGAAGGTATAAAGCTTCTACCTTTATGCTTAGATTGTTTAGATCTTGTTTTTGGTTGCTTTATGGAATCCTTCTTTTCACAAGAGTCCCAATATTATGCATGCCTTGTTTTGGTCTAGTTAAGTTGTCCTTTCAGACCCTAGGATGGGTCCTAAGGCATAAAAATAAGGTCCCTTTAGCTAATTTGGTCCCTAGTTCTTTTTAGGAGGTCTTAATGGATTAAGACCATGTATTAAGCCCTTTTTAGTCGACCAAAGTCTTAAAGTTAAAGACTTTATGGTTCTAGAGCACATTTGAGTAGTGGATCTGAAATTTGGGCTTAAGTGCTTAAGCCATTAAGCATTTATCATGATTTTGGTCCATGCGAGGGTACACCCCGCGTAAAGCTGCATACGCCTCGCGTTCGGAGTCAACCACCCCGTAAGTGGTCAATGCGAGACGAGGTACGCCCAACGTACCGAAGGGGTACGCCCCGCGTACGTCCCATGTTGGGTTTTGGACTTTGGGCTTCGAGTATTGGGCCATCTGTTGGGCTTTGATACTTGGGCCCTAATGGTTTATTTGGATGGGTGTATCTTGGGCTAAGTAGAGGATCGGACCCTTGGATAAGGCCCAATAAGGAGTTGGGCCCAATTTGGAAAATTGGGCCAAGTATGGGCTTGAAGTGGGTTGGGCCTTTGGATCAAGATTTGGGTTTGCCTTGCATTGGGTTGTGATAAACCGTATGGGATTTTATGGTTTCGGCTTTTAGCTTGCTGGATCTTCTTGAGTGAAGGTCATTAGGCCCAATTTAGAAAATTAGGCCATAATTGGACTTAAGGAGTTTATTTGATGTTGGGCCTTTTGTCATCTAGTATTGGGCCAATTATGGGCCTTGTATATTGGGATTTTGGATTAAGGAAATTGAGTTGGGCCTTGGCCCAACTTAAGGAAAGGATAGAATGGACTATTACCATATGTTTGGACCCTTATCCAAGATTGGTATTTAACCGTTGACTTAGTGTTCGTTTATTGTCATACTTTGGGATTCTCGACGAATCAGCAGTTGGAGATTTCAGTACAGTTCGGCATTGTGAGGTAAGTTATTCTCACTATATCAACAGGGTCTAAGGCACCAAGGCCGACCCTTTTTGGATTGTATCCTGGTCATAGGAGATGATGCTATGTTTAGTGATCTGTTAGATCTGTATCCTGGTTATAGGACGATGCTATGTTTAGTGATATGTTAGATCGATATCCAGGTATATAGGATGATGCTATGATTAGTGATCTGTTAGATCTTTATGACTTTTGTACATGCTAGCTAGCGTGTGATATTTATGTGTTGATTGTGTGATTGCGGGGTGGGTTGAGGCGGTCCTGCTTTGTGCTCTAGGCCAACATACCCAGGGCGGCCCGGATAGACTGAAGGCCCATCGGGGCGTAGGCCGAAAGCCCGGAGGACGGTCCAGACAGGCTGAAGGCCCAATAGGGGGGACCATACACGCTGAAGGTTCTGAGAGTAGGCCAGATAGACTGAAGGCCCGGTGAGGGCGATCCAGTCATACTGAAGACTCTAAGAGTGGTCCAGATAGACTGAAGGCCCGGTGAGGGCGGTCCAGTCATACTGAAGACTCTATATGCATGTTGTTTGTTATGATATTGTTCTGGTTTGTATGGCGTTGGTATTTTGGGGGAACTCACTAAGCTTCGGGCTTACAATTGTTGATTTTGTTTCAGGTACTTCGAATGATTGTGGGAAGGCGAAGGCTTGATCGTGCATCTCCTCACATTTTATGACTTTGATTTCTGGGATTCTCTGATATGAAACTATGTTGAAAACATTTTGTCATAACTAATGGTTTTTGGATGCTTGAAAAAGTTTTAAATTTGCTTGAATTTTATGGATGTTACAAGTTGGTATCAGAGCCTTGGTTTGAGTGAATTGGAGGAACACTCGTGTGAATCCAGTCTCAAACTAAGGAAAAAGGGTTTTCAAAACAAATTTTCAAATGGT